ATGCACCAGCCGCCAAAAACGTCATCGTATGGCGGACATCTGCTCCACCCTTCCTCAACAGTTACTAGTTCTGGGCAATTGAGGATTTTGGTCATCGTTACTTAGTGGCCACTCGGACTAGGCGTACAGGCTCCGAATCAAATGAGGCTGCCCTTAGTTCTTGCGACAGCTTCGATTAGATACCGCAGTCCATGAAGTAAGATGGTCCAGATGGTGTGGAGGTGACCTTAGCCCGCAAACCATCACTACAGTGCTGCCGTAGTGAACCCGAAGCGACTTCACTACAGTGCACGGGGTGGAGAGGTCAGTCTCAAGCATGGCCCGACAAGTCCCCTCAAGATGCAGATGTGACTCTTTGGCCCTCTATATTCGGCCATTGTCGCTGAAGAACTACGCGCCCAGCCCAAGAGATCCGGTCTCGCAGGTAATTATTTGTAACGAAATCTACGCGGCGCCCCTAGACCTCGCAACGCGAGAGCGAAGGCATATGTAGTCTTATGCCAAATATCCTAGTTCTCCAAAGTACATCCACGAGAGTTGACTCCCCCATCCGTTTGTCCCATCAAACGGCGGCAAACGCATTTAGACTCGCCTGGGAGCCCTACCCCCCGCACGACGCCTGCCAATCATGCCACTTCATGGGCAGCCTGGTTCAATGCAGTGCTCCCACCCTAAGGGGGCTCGTGGCGTTTACTATCTACTCCGTTTATTGCTCATTCGTATTGAAGAAACGTCACAATTCTCTGCGAGACACTTCACAATCATTCCCCGTAGCAGGCGGAGACCGACTGACTGATCTTGACTATACCGGTGATATCGCCTTACCTGCTTCGAGTTTTGGTGGTCTGCAATCTACGGTGTCACGTGTGGGCGAGTTCGCTAAATCGGTCGGTTTATCCATAAACGCTGGGAAGGCTAGTGTTTTCAAGCCGCATCCCTGACCAAGAGGGCACCCTCGGGATTAACAGTTGTCAACTCGAAGAAGTACAGTTTTAAATACCTCGGGGCGGGGCTGCTGCCATATGGCCAGAGGAAGGATTATACTGTCACCCCAATTGATGCTGCCCGACGGGTTTCTTCAAGCCTTAGAAAATACCTATAGATACGGCACGACCTCCGCATCACCACCAACATTCGCGTGTGCCGTGCGTCTGTACTTCCTTATGGTTATGAATGCTGGGCTGTGCGCGTGGAGGACGAGCGAGAACTGGAGGTATTTGACCACCACCGCTCGAGTGAGGTACACCAACTTCGACTCAAATGAGACAGTCCACGCTCGCTGAGACATAGCAAGGATAACCCAGACCATCTAAGAAGGGCGACTGAGGGGGTTTGGGCATGTTCTTCGTCGTCCACCTCAGGAACTCAGTGTACTGCCCTCGAGCCAGCCCCGTTACCCAACTGGAGGCGTCGAAGAGAGGGTCAACTCAAAACCTGGCTCGACACAGTTCGCCGAGACATGGCGGTGGTTCCTGGACTTACGGTATTCGTCGTTGACGATGAGAATGGGCTGAACTGTCCAGATCTGCTGCCGCGGATCGCAAAGCGCGGAGAGGCACAGCTCGGGACATCATCGAGTCCGGTTAGATCAGGCATGATCGCAGCCGTACCAAGTACAAGTACAGTTCCCCATAGCTTAAATCGAAATGTCCCTTTCTCGCTTACGAATCTGTCTACCCCTTCTGATATTCTTGGAAGCTGGCTCTACATAACACGCTTCATACAATGGCAGCCGACGGGACAACCAAACATGTCGATATTTGGTACTAATCGCCCAATGAACAGAGGCATGCGGCGGTCACCGTGCTATCATGCGAGACCACCTAACGACTCAAGGTGCGCGAAACCCAGGCGGACGAGCGCCGGAAATCGCCTCCGCAGCCAGATAAAGCAAGCTTGGACTCCCAGGAGCTTATACCTATATTTTGCCCTTATGTGCATGCCCGGCGGCCCCGTCTGCTTAGTTCTTTTTCCATCGAGGCACATGGGGAAATAGCGAGCGTTCAGTAGGCAATCAGGGCACGGTTGAGTCAAGCGATCAGACAAACACTATCGCTGGCGGAGCCAGGCAAGTCTGGAAGCGTAACGCCCGTGCAGGTGTGCGATGATGGTCGCCTGTCGCCCAGACATCGCAACAAAACTATTTGGAGACCGTGGTGCAATCTGTCCTTTAATGTGAGCGCTGACGCGAACGGCCTGGTAGGAAAAACCACAGGTCATTCGTCTCCAAAGTGGCATGGCCAAAGCAAAAACCGCTGCGAAAAAGGTCGAAGTGTGAGACCGACTGTACTTTAGGAGCACCATACTACTTCCGAGAACGAAAGCGGGGTCGGAGCGCACCCAGATATGCAGATCTTGAAGCGGTGTATCGGTAGCGCTGTATAGAAGCCCGCTTCATGAGATTATCAGCTTGCGACTGGCGACAAACGCAGGAGCGGTCAGCGTAATCTGGTTGCACTCTCTTCAGCCGCGGCCAGGCGGTTCTGGGCAGTTGGACGACACCCGTAAATCTTCGAAGTTCTCTGGCATCTACATGGTGGTCCGTAGCTATCGTATGCTTATGTACACGGCAAAAGTCCGAGGCTAGACGTTATCGCGAGCATGACTACTACGAAAATAGGCAACAAATACTGCCTCAGGCAGTTGGTAATAGGGAAAATCTATCAATCCAGAACCAGAAAGAGGCGCGCAAGTTCCCAAGGACATCATGTTGGTCTCCTGCCACAGCGAAGCCTAAATTTACAGTAGGCAGACGTCCCAGTCTGTCACAGGAATTGATGCTACGGCGAAACCCCGAACGCAACAACGAACTGTGCAGAAAGTATTAGCATAACAGGCAGAAGAGTGATTTCAAATAACCGTTTATACAAAGTCCAAATTAGTCAAATAGACTAAAGCCCATATCGTCGTCCGACTCTTCCTCTGGCTCCGGCTTTTTCTCCTCGGCCTTTTCCTTCTTTCCGCCGTCTTCTTTGGCAGCGGCTGGCGCACTGGGTGCGGCAGCTCCGCCAGCAGCATGAGCAGCTGGTGCAGCAACTGAGACTGTGGACAACTTAGCCCTGCCGGCAGCGATCAAGTCGTGGGGGTTCTTCCCCTTAAGCTGAGCGAGCAACTACTTAAACACGAAAATCATAATAATTAAAAACGTACGTTATTCACGCGCTCTTCTTCGCACTCAATACCAACGGAGTCCAAAATAGCCTTTATATCCTCCGCTGCGGGGTGGTGGTTCCCACCCAGGTTGGCTAGCATAACAGCAGCGACGTAACGCATCTCGGAGGGCAGTACACGAGTGAGCACAAACGACGCGCCTGCAAAAGTGACTACAAATTAAAACAAGTCACAGCAGAAGGTAGAAGATATTACGTTTCCTGTATTTTTGTTTTGTGTCTTAAGATAATTGCTTTGGTTGTAGTTAATCCACTGTTGGCCCTCCTTTGTGCGGACGACTGCCCAAAACTAATTTCCATTAGATGGCTAAAACTGCTGGTGAAACATACAAGGCACGAAACCGGACTGAAATCAGGTGTTGATAGACCACTGCGTGAACTCACTGAGGAAACACTGAAAATTCAAATTTCTGACACCAGATAGTTAGGATTCATACGTTAACTCGGCGTCTATGTGCAGAGATTGGTTTGAGTATGCTGCGACTGGCTACGCTGAAGTTGACGCAGCGGCAATCAGGCCTTGTGGAAGCAGTATGCAGTCAACAGACGGTGATAAGTAGAAAGCTATTTAAACTTCCAACCAGTGCACATATTCGACAGTCCTGTTTTCGCAGCGTCTTGCCAGCCCACCTGACCCTCGCATACAGATCACGCATGAAATGACTTGCTCCTTTGTGGAAGTCAAGTTGGTAAAGGGCGATATGAGACTGATGATAGTCATGAACATCTATCTGTTCTCGTATTTGAAGAATCACAAGCGGATTCCTTGACGACCCTATTGGTGCATGGAAAAGTTTGCATATTTGCGATCAGCATAAAACTGAGGACATTTTTCAACGAGCTCGAGACGAAGTGCAACACAATTCAAATCGGTTGTTTGCGCCGGCCATCGTGTTGGTTCCCTTCGAGTTCAGTAATTTTGCTGTCACCTCCAGTTAATGAACGTTCATTTGTGAGGACGCCTGTGATAGTATACACTTGCCCGTGTCTTCTTTTCTAAGAGAAGAATTCATGCGAGAATGTTCAAATGGATCAGGAGTTTTCTGTCCTCCATAGTACAAAGAATTGTTGTTGGTAACTCTACCTCGGGATGGGAAAAGGTGGAAAATGGTGTCCCACGGGGTTCTGTCTTAGGCCCAGTACTCTTCCCTATTTATGTTAATGACTGCATCAGCGAAGTGAATGACGAGGCTCTCATGTTCGCGAAGGACATAAAAATATGGCTTGAAGTCACGTGCGAAAATGCGGAGAAGTTGCAGTCGAACACTGACAAACTGTGTGCTTCGTTGAACAGATGGCTTTGGAAGTTTACCGTGTCCAATAGTGTGGTCTTGCACCTCAACAGCGGCCGCAATGCCTCTCCCAAACACCAGTACTATATTGACGGGACGAGGTTAGAAACCGTGGAAAGACACGGAGATCTGGGTGTATGGACGACCACAAATCAATCTTCAATTCAATTCAATTCAATTCAATTATTTTTATTAAAGACCCGTTGGGGTCCCATCAAAGCAAGTAAAAATAAATTTACATGCAAATTTTAGACGATGTAGGCAAAATCTGCACAAAGTGCAATGCATAGTTTTTGAGATTAGAAGTCTGTTAAGCAAAATGAAAATGAAAAAAACGAGGGGTGAAAAAAAAAACTCCAAAGCAAAATTTAAAAATGATTGTAGTAATTTAACAGGAGAAAAAAAAACCCTCAGAAAAATAGCATCAGAAAAAAAGGGAGGACTGGCCTGCATGTGGCGGTACAAAATGGNGCTTCCAATTTAATCAAGAGTCTTTTATGTGGCACTTTATCAAAGGCTTTACTAAGATCAAAATAAATTACGACAACAGATAGGTGATCATTACGAAGAGAGGTAAGTAGATCGAGAAACGACAGATGACATGTTTCACAAGAGCGATCTGGTAAAAAACCATGTTGGGAAGGGCTAATAACTTGATTGGCTATGCAAAATTCGGTAATTTTTATGGCGATAATTTTTTCAAAGATTTTGGCGAGAGAGGGTGTTTTATGGACACCTCGATAGTTCTGTACGTCAGAACGACAGCCAGACTTAAATACTGGAATAATAATAGAAGTTTTCCAATAGTCAGGGAAGAAGCCATTTACGAGAAATACTGAAAAGATTTTGCTAAGCAGAGGAGGAAAATCTCTTAGTTGTTTTATCAAAGAGTTTGGGATATTGTCCGTACCTACTGAGTGAGAGTTAGGAAGATGACTTATCAGTTTTTGAATACATTCAGGAGAAAAATTAATGAAGCTAAGAGAAGCATCAGACAACGAAGGAATTAAAGGGATCGGATCAGTTTCAATGGTGAAATGCTTGGCAAAGAACGAATTTAAAATTTCTGCTTTGCCTGACTCTTCTGTAATGAAGGCATCACTTGCACTAAGCAAGGGCGGAATGACTTGGTGGGACTTAGCAGATGATCTCTGACGGAAGATCTGAGCAACTGATTTAGAAGAATTCACATCATTAATAGCCAAAGACTCTCTACGCCTATCTCGCTCGAGCCTTATTTTCGAAGCTAGTTCAAATATTTCAACGATTCTTAGATGAACTGATAATGAACTCACAGAAGGATCTTTAAACTGCTTCCGTAACTTTTTAAGTCTGTTTTTAAGAAAGTGTGGGATAGCGGTGGAATTAGCACTCGGTTTGAACATCTTCCGAGGAATAAGGTCAAGAAGACCTTCTGTTACGCATTGTAATAAATTGTTGAAAAAATTTAGATCATTATTTGAAAAAATATTTTGCCAATCAAGAGTGCAGGTAAAGTTATTTACTAAATCCTTATTAACATTAGCAAAGTCAAAAATACTACGTTGAACTGTTGGCTTTGCGAAAATGGCAACTGGAAGGCGACAATGAATTAATGCATGATCACTTGCAAAGAGGTCATGATAAAAATCCATAGATAAAGGGAAGGTGCCATTAGTAAAAATTAAGTCTAAAACACTATCGTTTCTGGTCGAAGAGTGAACTAATTGAGTCAGGTTTGAAAAGTAAATTGTGTCAAGCAGCTTCTGGAATTTAGGAGGAGAAGTATGTGTGTGCCAGTGAATTTCTGGCAAATTAAAATCGCCTACGATTATCTTGACATCGAAAGAAGTTTCTGCAATTTTTTCAAAGAGTTCACAAAGTTGGCTTTCATTACCGGAGGAACAAGGAGGATTATATACACATCCGACTAAGGCTTTCCTATTTTGAGGAAGGATTACCGAAGCAAAACATAAATTTCCAGAGAAGGAGGAAATGTTCAAGTTATAAGGCGATGGTGCAAATGATGCTCTTATTTAAAGAAGGCATCCACCGCCGCGTCTGTCGGCACGGTCCTGGCGGTATAAACTAAGGCTATCTATGTTAAGTACCGAATCTGAAATTAGACAGTGGGCCCAAGATTCAGTAATGCACAATACGTCTGTGTCAAATTCAACAGCTACACTTCTTAGGTGTGCCATCTTTTGTACGACAGATCTTGCGTTGAGAGAGACAATACTGAGCGTATTCCTAATATGTAGGTTCCGCTCATTGCTACTTATAAAAAAGGAAGAGCCAGAGGTGGAAAATTAAGCTGAGGGAACGGAGCAATTGGTGGAGGACAAAGTTGCTGAGGTCTAAAATTTATGGGGTAATTACTAGTTAGGGATGCAGCATTAGGTGGAAAAACATTTGAGGAGGACCCAGGAAGAGGAAAACTATTTTGTTGGGTTGGAAAAATAGGAGACAAGAAAATAGGATTTTGGGAATTGTTAGCATAAGACGAGGGGTAGTTTATGTTAGGTGGCGGACATAATGGTTTCGGGAAACAGTTAACATCAGGAAAGGGCTTTATTAGTTGGGGTGTCAGGCTAGCAACGGGATTGGAAAATTTATCAGCAATGCAATATACTTGCATTTTGCAGTCTGATGTGTAAGAGGGCTTCACAACTGTGGCGGTAAGTTGAGAATCCAGGATAGGAACAGGTAAAGACCTCCCTGAACTCTCATCTAGCTTATTAGACCTAACTGCAAGGTCAGACCTGAGTGGCCAGGCGTGGGAACGGGGTGGATTCGATGTCAGTTTATTAACCAAATCACTATTCTGAGTGCTGGGAGCCGGTTGTGCTTCAAGGACTAGCTCATCTTTACTGCTAAGATCAAGCTCCCTTATAAATTTGGGAGCCGCATTTGAACAATCCTTGCTCCGTGGGGGAGTTTTAAAGAGGCTAGTTTTAACCGTCTCTGTGATAATGTGATCAGTCAAAGAGCTAGATGGAACTGGGGCCGCTGTAGATAGTGGCGGGATTTGGTCGACACCAGATTGAGAAACTGCTTTAGAGGAAAAAGACATTTGGGTAGAATTCGGGGGTGGCTTTACGTTTGGTAATGTGGGAGAAATTTTTCGTTGCAGTGGAGTCTGGTCTCGACTAATAAAAAGTTTATTTGCCCTGAGATATTGAGTTGATCGCTCCAAATGGGAGAAAATAAAATCCACTTCAATCGATGAAAAGAGTTTGACAAGAATGGGTGGATTCTTGCTCCTAGATGAAAGCCTTTTGGCTTCCGCGACCCTAAAGTTGAAGCCGCATGAAAAAAGGAATTGAAAGGCGACATCAATTGGCTGTCTACTCTTGGGAACGTTTTTTAATATAAAGTTGAAACTTCGTTTGTGCCTGTCTTCAGTCTCAGTCGCAACCAGGTTAATGAGAGGCATGAGCTTCTCACACTGCTGAGACGTAAGCGTTGGAAAATTTCCGTCAAGAAGGGCACCAAGGACAGAAAAAATTGATCCGCAACGAGACATAAAGTTGTTAAAATCATCAAGCGCCCCTAGATCAATTTTTTTCATATGAACAATGGGTTTCAGATGAAGTTTAGTTTCCTTCAGATTTCGACGAAGGGTTGCTTGAGGTTTCATGCCGAAAACGCAATACAAGACTTAAGTCCAAATATTTATATGGATGATAACTGCCGAAACTTCGAGGATATATGGATGAGGCTATGTATGATGAAACGATTTATGAAAGCTGCAAATATTGGTGGACCAGACAGCACAATTTATACTAAGCAAGTTTTACTCAATACCAGAATGCAAACTAGAAAAAAAACG